TATTGATCATGAATTTCGTCATAACATTGTCAAAATAGCTGTGGATCCACGAGGTGATAGCCGAGTGGATCCGCAGACTGGCTACTTTGACAATGTTATGACGAAATTTATTGTCAATGACAAGACAGACGCATGAAAAACTGGCGTCAATTTGTTCTTTTACAATAATAAATTGTCAAATTCCGCTCAGCCGCTCTTGCTCCTCGCGTCAACATCGCATAAGTTATAAGTTCAGGCGTCTGTTTGCATCTTGACAAAGAAAATTAGCCAACGAGCGCGCGATAAGTTCTGCAGTTATTGTAAAATTCATGTTATAAATCAGTTGAGTCAAGGATTTTACCTGTTTCTATGGCCTTAATCAAAGTTGGTTCCAAATTGACGGCAGCCGTTGCATCATTCAGGGCCTCGTGGAAATTCCCTGAGTAATAGAATTGAAAAAGACATTTCATGCACAGAAGACGAAGAAGTAGCGAAAAAGAAAAAGCGATAAGAGGTCACGAGATTGTAGAGATATGCAATGTGCGTGTCTTCTTTCAATGCTCAGACCCCTCTCAACTTAGTGGCACGCAACGGATCTGTTCCGATCCTTGAAATACGGATGACTCCCGATAACTCAAACCTCCTTGGGGGCACGTTATGGGGAGTCATCGGGGGATGGGAACAAACGACCGGGCAGTAGGAAATAAAACTGTTGCGTTTAAATCAGGTTTAGTACTGAGAAAGAGTAAAACTTGAACGATTCTTCGCCAACACAGCAGAATAAAATAGATCTGAAGGGAATAAAACAAGACAAACCAAACAGCAGACCAATAAGGTTCTGGATTACCATCACGAGAAGGGAGCTGAATTGCAACCTTTGTCAAAGGTAGTCTTAGATCGATAGTAGGGACATTTCAAGTACAATTAACATATATTGTTTATGCAGCATCATCACTTAGCATTTCTCTTGGCTCACCGCTAAATTTTCTCATTCTGATTCGCTAAAACTGAACACGGACGCGACATTTCTCGTCCCAGGGAGGGGTGGGGGCACTGTCTGGTGGCGTTGGCCAAAACTGATCACGCAATATGATCTTGCGTGGACACTATCAGACGGTGATTTAGCCATTGGTGAATATCAATCTATAGTGCCCGTTCAGTGAAGTAGCTAATGAAACGCAACTTCCTATTTCATTCTTTTAGATAAAGTAAAAGAGTTTATACGCTTCTGTGTGGATTTCTGTTTGAAAATAGCGCGAATAAGTAGTTTTCAGGCTGAAAACTGTGATGAGCTACGATACAGTAAAACAACAATCGAGCGCAAAGAGGTTTGAGATTGTAAAGAGAACACAATTCTTTTATTTTAACGACTTTGTCACGTTTTTGCAGTTTAATATTTGACATGCAGAATTGTATTTAATTTACACATACAAGTTTAATTTTACCCAAAGAAGTAGAAACTCAGCATAAAAAAAAGCAAAGCGGAAATTCAGAAAATAGCAGAAAATTTACCAGTGAACATAAAAGACAATTAATTATTTATTTCTATGGACTGATAGTTTTTCCCGGGAAGTTAGTTTCCCACTATAATTTGCTCAAATGATAGTTTCTATTATAATAATTGAAAGGCTGAAAACAAAGAAAGCAACAACTTCTTTTGATCGTTGAATAAATTTGAAAATGACATGATCAAAATCTTACCGAGATGGTAATAAGCTCTTGCCCTGCTGCTGTACAGCTTGGCATTAAGCTGGAAATCCTTACAGTTCACATGAATTCCTTCTGTGTAGAAGTATATTGCGTTACAAACTTCTTTTCTTGTGAATTCTTTGTCTCCTTCTTCCTGATAGACTTCTGCTATCGCTGGAAAAGCAAAACAGATTTGATTAGTAACTTATTTTGTACGGCTAAGCATTGTTTAATTTGTTTCCCTTACATTGTCCATTTTCTTGCAGAGTGAGACAGGCCTTATGCGTCACTCTGGCGCAAGGAGTTAGGTGAACGTGAGGTGAACACAGCTATGCGCAGCTAACATTATGTATTACTAGATTTTATATCCGAGCCTAAATTAACCCTAAAAAACACGTCTGAATAAAATGGCATTTAAATCTTTTAAGTTCTTTTCTGTGAAACAGTCTGTGAGTTGTCACTTTATTGCAGTAGTTACCATTTTTAACTAAATATAATTCTGTGTCTTATCAAAAAACCCTTTAAGGCTTGGTTACACTAACGCATAAGCATACGCCGACATACGCAGACGCAGTAACATGTTGATAATTAGCGACTTTTGTTTGGGGAAAGGCGCTAATTATCATCATCTTGCTGCATCTGCGTATGGCCATGCGCTAGTGAAAAACAGACTTAAGTCCACCCCAGTCTTGTTACACTACTACGTAGTGGAAGATAAAAGTGGGGTAAAAATTTGATCTTAGTACCACTTAAACTGTATTTTAATTCGACCCAAAAGCTGGCCACATCAGGTCATTAATCAGTGATTTG